ACTTGCATGTGCACCTTCTGATGTAGAGGAAGTATGTGCGCTCACCCTCACACCGATTGACAAACTGTATCGCTCTGTGTGTGTGTGTGTGTGTGTGTGTGTGTGTGTGTGTGTGTGTGTGTGTGTGTGTGTGTGTGTGTGTGTGTGTGTGTGTGTGTGTGTGAGGTCAAGGCTTAACACAAGTCTGACTTTCCGTGTTTGAGTTTTTTTTTTTTTTTACGTGTTGGGGAAGTCGAGAGAAGAAATTAGGTCAGGCGAGAGGATTTTTCCCCTTTGAAGTAAGAATATAAATAATCTTCCCATGACCGCACGTTTCTGCTATTATATCTACCTGACGGGAGTGTTTTATAGGTTACCTCTTTAAACTCCTGAAGGTGAATCGTAATCGTCTGGAGGAGAAGGTTAGGTAAGGATTAGGTAGGTAGTCAGGGTGTGTAGTCAGATATTTGGATTTGGATTGGAATATTGGATGGTACTTCTTCTTTGCCTATTTTTATCATATCCCGTCATCCATCCCTGGCTCTTCCTCTCCTCATCCATCTTAATCATCTCCCGTCATCCATCCCTGGCTCTTCCTCTCCTCATCCATCTTTATCACCTCCCGTCATCCATCCCTGGCTCTTCCTCTCCTCATCCATCTTTATCACCTCCGTCATCATCCCTGGCTCTTCCTCTCCTCATCCATCTTTATCACCTCCCGTTATCCATCCCTGGCTCTTCCTCTCCTCATCCATCTTTATCACCTCCGTTATCCATCCCTGGCTCTTCCTCTCCTCATTCATCTTTATCATCCGTCATCCATCCCCTGTCATCCATCCCTGGCTCTTCCTCTCCTCATCCATCTTAATCATCTCCCGTCATCCATCCCTGGCTCTTCCTCTCCTCATCCATCTTTATCACCTCCCGTCATCCATCCCTGGCTCTTCCTCTCCTCACCTACCCCTGGTATTTCCCCTCCTCACTTCGTCCTGGCACTTCCCTTCACCCATCTTTATCACACCACACCACACCACACCACACTACACCACACCACACCACACCACACCACACCACACCACACAGAGGAATAAACGCCAACCATAAAATTAATGGGACTATCATGAAAATATTGGGTGATAAATATTGAATTATTTTTTGAGAGAAAGAGAGAGCGAGAGAGAGAGAGAGAGAGAGAGAGAGAGAGAGAGAGAGAGAGAGAGAGGAATGGAGGTGTGTCTACTAAGGTGAGAGGTAATGCTAGGAGACAGGTGTAGGTAGAATGACACTATAACACCCAGGTAAGATTAATGTCATCCAGGTATAAATGATGTGTATGATGATCTTCCATAACAAAGACCTTTGATAATGTGTATTATGGCCTTTGTCTGAGGATTATACCCCCACACCCCCCCACCCCACCCCACCCACCCACCCCCTTTCCTCCGGGCCTATGAGCAGCGGCACCTATCGGGAATGGCAAGAACTGCATTTTACCCGACAAATTTCCCCTTATTCCAATCTTAGTTAATCGATTTTCATGGGAATCCGACTTACATCATGAGACGTTGTTAAACCGAGCACAAAGAACCGCTAATTTACAGGGATAACTGTCAGAAAATCCCTCCCAGACGTGGTAGTAATGGTGTCGTAGCCTCCATAAGCTTCCTACAGTGTTATACAGCGAGCAGGCCAAGAGAGGCAGCTGAGGGGGTAAATACAGTGGTTGGGGGGCAGGAGGAAGTGCGTGACTCCTGCTAATTATGTGAGAAGCTGTCTGTGTGTGTGGGTGTGTGTGTGTGTGTGTCTTATGCAGGCCACCACAGCCACACAATCTACACTCCACATGTGATCCATTGTTTTAATTCTTTGGAGTTTGTGAGACTTTATTGAGCTCAACTTTTTAATTATGTTATGATTACATTAATAAGATTACATTATTGCTGGCGTTTACTGAGTACAATCAGATTACATTAAATGGAGCCTTGTCTTCTACTACTGGGGATAACTGTTTATACAAGTGGTGTGTGTGTGTGTGTGTGTGTGTGTGTGTGTTCCTGCAGACATTACAGTCCCGTGTATATCAAACCTGAGGTGCGTGACCGCCATCAGTAAGCAGAGGGAGGCACTGACCACAGCCACCCCTATCTGTAGCACCAACAGAGGCGCCACTCACTGTCCTCCTGCCGGGGTGTAGCGATGACCTCCCTGACGGTGGTGGCAGCGGCGGGTGGAGGCTCACACTAACTCACCCCTCTGGTTAACAATAGAATTATGGAATGAGAACATTATTTTGGTCTAGTTCCTTGACGGTAAAGAATAGTTACTGGGTCATTATCTTTCTATCTGTCTGTCTGTCTCTCTGTCTGTCTGTCTGTCTGTCTGTCTGTCTGTCTAGCTATCTGTCTGTCTATCTGCCTATCTGTCTGTCTGTCTGTCTATCTAGTTATCTGTCTGTCTATCTGCCTATCTGTCTGTCTGTCTGTCTGTCTATCTATCAATCTATCTATCTATCTATCTATCTATCTGTAGTATTAAATAGATAGCCATATACGTAGATACCGATATAAATAAAAAAAAAAAACACTTCTCATTTTTAATTGTTAATGGGAGGTGTATGACTCAAGGTAATTCATCAAGAGGTTATTAGGGGCAAGACAAGGAACAGCCTCACAGTGCTCTATCATGATCACTACTGGCTACCATACACTTGTTATGTGATAAAGTATAGTTAGCATCGTTCTTTGCTGGTCAATAGACAGTGTTATGCAAAAGGTGTTAGTAATCTGGAGGAGTTTGATGATTGGATTCCTCCGTCATCTGATTGAATTCCTCCGTTATCTGATTGGATTCCTCCGTTATCTGATTGAATTCCTCCGTCATCTGATTGAATTCCTCCGTTATCTGATTGAATTCCTTCGTTATCTGATTGAATTCCTCCGTTATCTGATTGGATTCCTCCGTCATCTGATTTACCAAGAGAGATCAGAACGTCTTGGATTGCCTTGTTTTAACACTACATTAGAATATAGTTACGAGGGACGATTCAATAGAAGTCGTCCGAATAGAAATCATAGCCTATTATTATTATTATTATTAAAAACTGCCATAGTGGTTTTATTATTACGATTATTATTACCTGAGGTTTTTTGTTTTTTTCCCCCCGTTGGTAGGTTCTGTCATTCCTCTGTCTATATTCTGTCATTATTCCGTCACTACTCTACCCCTGTCCCAGTCTCTCATCTCGGGCAGCACTGGGATACCTTTGAGCCTGACCTGCATCGTAATCTTTGGGTCAGAACACACGGGTCAGGAGGTTATGTGTCTAACAGCCTGATTGATGGTGTGGTCATCGTCCTCTGTCTCGTGAGTCTGTGGGCTAGTTGGCTAGTTAGGGGCTTTTTTTTTTTAATGACTACAAGGAGCGATATGGCATCCACTTCGGCCTGACCCCGTGCATAGAGACCATTTTTATTTTTAGTGGACGTATCTGGTTGTGTAGTGATATTTTAAAGTACAGTGTCGATGGTGTGTGTGTGTGTGTGTGTGTGTGTGTGTGTATGTGTGTGTGTGTGTATGTGTGTGTGTGTGTGTATTTATAAAGTTGATAATTTTTTGGTTAACAGTCAAAAACAATTATGGAGAGAGAGAGAGAGACCTTTAATGGCTGCTGCTACAGTGAGGGTGACATAGAGAGACAGACCAGACAGACAGACAGACAACCTCAGCCTCAATCCAAGATGGGTGACGTGAGATACTTCTTTCCTCTCCTTCCTTCCTTCCTTCCTTCCTTCCTTCGCCAACACCTCCTAGCAGCTGACCTCCTACAACCCCTCAAGCCCACCCCACCAACCCACCCCACACCACCCCACACACCAACACCACCCACCAACCCCACCCCACAACCTCCTCTTCACCCCACCGTCTTTACCACCTGATGAAATACCTGCCACAGTGAATAATGAATTACTTATGCCATACACAATTCATAACGCAAGGTTGCTCAGGGTAATTTGGGCGTAATTGGCGTAATTTTAAACACGCAAACTTCACTTTCATGTTTCAAGCTTATTTAAGATCACAAAAAAACAACTAATCTTTTTTGTGTGTTTTTGTTTTTTGTAATTATAAATATTTTGTTATTTGTCAGGTGGTGTGTGACCCTGGGCATTCAATAGGCGTCATAAAGTGGAATCGATTTACAAGTTGTATAAAAATGAAGAAAAACAAGCAGACGGACACATACATACATACATACATACATACATATATACATACATACATACATACATACATGAAGGCTAGTGTATCGCGTGGTGTTGGAAAGCTCACTACAATGAAATATTAATAAATTAGATTAAACAAAAGTTAGTAATTGCTACTAAGACCGTGGCTAATAGCGACTAATAGTGACTAATAGTGACTAGTAGCGATAATTAGTAAGTGTGTCATATAATCTGACTCAGGGTAAATTTTTAATAACCTTTTTCATGTTTTTATTATTATAAGTACATTACATACTCTTGATGGTGTTATTAAGGAAGTTTGTGAAGGAAAGAATATAGAAAAAAATAACTAGATATGTTTAATAATTGAAATATATGTTACTTTTTTTTTGCTGATTCGGTTATTTTGCAAAATGACCGGCATACATATTGGTAATTTTGCAAAATTACAAACAGACAACCTAAACTAACTTAACCTTATGGTTGAATAAGGTTAGGTTAGTTTAGGTTAGGTTAGTATGGTTCGTGCTGCTTAATACACAGAAAATTGGTCCTGTTCTTTTTTTAACTTTGGTCTACAGTAAGTGCTGTCCTAACCATATATATGTGTGTGTGTGTGTGTGTGTGTGTGTGTAGTGAGATCTCCATATAACGGACTTCGATCTCCATTTAATCCATTAGATGAGGAGGTATCACATCGAACGAACCCTTGATATAACGGACATTCCTCTACATATATCCCTTTAAAAATGATAGGTAAGCTAAAACTAACCTATGTTGTGTTGTTACCTCCGGCAGGCGTGGACTGACCTCCTGGCCAGTGTTGGGTGGTGGAGATGAGCCCGTACGCCTCCTCTCTCTCCAACACAACCTCCTCACCCGCGTTGATCCTCCCACGCCCTCGCCCTCACTCGTCCTCCTCGACCTATACCACAACCACCTCCATAACCTCCACGGCCTCCACGCGTTTCCCAACCTCAGGGTCCTGATGCTGGCCAAGAACAGGTGAGTCTAGTTTCTTGTTGTTCTTCTTCAATCCTTCTTGTCTTACGGTATTTAACGAATATTCATACATAAATACATAGATAAGTAAATAAAAAGAAAATCCATGTATCCCATGTATTCCCGAGTATACATAATAAGGCTTCAAAGCTCGTCTGGTATGTATGTTGACATGTTAACTTGTGCTAAGTCATGGGGGTGTATAATCCTCATTGACACTGATTCCGGGTTGAACTTCCGAGTAAAAAAAAAAGTGACTTCATATATACGATTCAAGTTATCGTTATGGCTATCCAAGTTCCGGTTACTTAAAGGGTCTTATAGGTACAGAAACCCCCCCCCCTCCCCATAAGATAGAGATAAGAAAAGGCATCTAGACTAGTAAACTTACACTATGGTACAAAGATAATGTCGGTGTAACTCGGAACTGCAGTGTGACTCGACAATAACAATTCCCGTTTTCTGTATCTCTAGCTGAGGGGCGGGAGAGAGTTGTTTTGTTTTGTCTGTCACCTCATTACCACAGCGCTGTTTAAAGAGTGTTTTACACACACACACACACACACACTCACACACTGAGTTCACTGACATACACACACGAACACACACACACATACTTTTGTACATACATACACACACAAACAGCTAAACTATTATCGGCTTACACTGGTATGTAGGACTTTTTCACCTGGGAGAAAAAAAAACACTCACTTGATACAGTGTTGGTGTAAAATGTTGTACTAGCACACGCCACCCGCGCCTCGCCCTAGTGCCCTGCCTCACCACCAACTATCATCCTAGTACCCTGCCTCACCATTCCGCATCACCCTGTACTTCTCCTTTGCTGTAACTAGTCTCAATACAAGGAATACACTGTATCACTTTATTCCCGTTCAACTGGTACTGTATTCTGCCCCAGGCTAAGGCAGGTAGTGTTTACGCTGTCGCTGGGAAGATAGATCCCGTCTCAGTGTGTCGGGGATTATCCTGAAGGGGTTATACCGTGGTGACACTTGGTTTGGTTTGTTTTTCTCGGATCCTGTCGCCTCGGGGTGTAGAATTCATGCGTCTGGAAGTATAGTGAGCGGTGATGGTCGGCTGTTTTCCATGACGACGGATGGTTTTCTTCCCAATGCTAGTTAGGTGAGTCAGGTTAAGTTAGGTTAGGTCTTAAACTTCCCAGCGCCAGCCAGCTTGAGTCCCTCACCTCCTCACCACCAGACAGTTCTACAGTATCTCAATATTTAATTCTTCATAAATTATCTTGGCTAATATATTTACTAACCTAAAATTCTCGTTTATAAGACCTAAGTTGTTAAAGCGTAGTAATACATCATAGCATCAACATCAACTGTGGGTAATATACTTAGCATGTTATAATTCCTTAATTAGTTATAAGATACTGGTAGAGGAAGAACACACATGATTAACTGAATATCTCGGGGCAAGTACTGTAATAGCCTAGTGGTGTGGTGAGGGTGTGGCTGTGTGGTGTAGCCTAGTACCTACTGACACGCCGAGTGGAGAATGTAGGAGGAGTGGAGTCAAATAATCCCTCATTATAAATCCATTATGTACAGTGAAAAGTAATCCTTCACCATAATAAATCCCTAAAAGAGGTGAAAAATGCTACCCTTTCACCAGTAATCCTTTAGAGGTGACGAGTTATATTTCAACCATAAATCCCCCAAGGAGACGATGATGGTAATTCGTCAACAATAATCCAGTGCTGTGGATTTTATACGAGATTAAATCTTGTCTTCAATCAAATATGAAATTGGGGTTAAATTCTGAAGAAGATTTATCATCGTCACTTTAGGTTTTCTCTTAACATAGAAAACGTAAATAATAATAAAGAAAATTGTAGTTTATTGTGGTAGAACTAATTTATTTATTTTTATTTAATTCGAATGATAAGAATATAAGACAAGTAAAGGCTAAATAATGGGATGTTTCTATATATTTATCTCAAATAACTCCACTTTAATTAGTTATATATATTTACAGTTATATCCTTCCATATAATTATTATGGGTAAATGTAGATAAAGTATACAAATTTAATACGTACATTATAAATTTATATACTATATATCGTTTCAGCCACACTTGAAAAAAATAAAACTAAGAATGGGGATATGAAAATTTTATATATATTTGTTTGGGGAAAATAAAACATATGTATCTTATGATTTCATGTTATTAGTGAAAATTCGACAACAGATTAGCCGAGAGAAGACGTCTGTTTAGAAATCACTGTTTGTTTACATTCTGGTGGGAGTCAACTCATGAGGGATCGTTGTTATAAAAGCGTGTTTACTAAGGTGAAAAAACACGTTAACTCAGCCATATTTACATCTTGGTGTGATACTTAATGTGCGCACTGCAACAGTCATATACAGTACTTATTACGCAGAAGTTATAATAATAATAATAATAATAATAATAATAATAATAATAATAATAATAATAATAATGATAATAATAATAATAGCCACCCAAGAACAATAGCAATACCGTTATAACCAGGAGAGAAAAAATTCTTCCATGAGTCGTGTGTGTGTGTGTGTGTGTGTGTGTGTGTGTGTGTGTGTGTGTGTGTGTGTGAGTGTGTGTGTGTGTGTGTGTAACCAGTTGAGTTGTTTTTAACCAAGTTTGGCCAGTAGTGGTTGACGTGTTGGCCGCGAGAGAACTGAAATAATTCACATCAAAAGTTCAAGGTCGGTCATGAATAATTAACCTTTTTTGACGAGATATCTAAGGAAGGTGTTGGTTGGCTGTACTGGTGCTGCTGTCTGAGAGAGAATTTACTCATAATTTAGGCCTTGTATTTTGACTAGACCTTAATAATAGAAGAGGTGATTGTTATGAGATTTCCTAGTTCCTCTGGGTAGCTAATATCAACCCAAGTTATCAAGTTAAACTAAAATGATGATGATGGTACAGTAATATACCTGTTGGTTATACAGGTGAGTTGGGAGGGAGGGTTGGGGTACGGTAGGAGGGAGGGAGGGAAAGGGTAGGGTAGAAAGGAGGGAGGAAGGGGAAGGGTAGGAGGGAGGAGGGATAGGAGAGGTGATGTACCACTTTTCAAAATAGCGCCATAATGCAAACTTATATTACAAATTTAATGACGTTTTTATTCGCTTCACTTATTTATTCAGACTGACTAAGCTTGTAATCTAAACACCAGGTGAAGCCGGGGATGGTAATTAGCCCTGGGTCGTGCCTCACCTGCTGTTCTGTTATGTTCACGGTAGGGAGGTCGTTGCAGCTGCCGCATGTTAACACTCACGCTGGAGGGGCTGACGGTGCTGCTACTGGTGGTGGTGGTGGTGGTGGTGCTACTGGTGGTGGTGGTGGTGCTACTGGTGGTGGTGGTGCTGCTACTGGTGGTGGTGGTGGTGGTGATGGTGTCAGTCCTTCCACCTCCTCCTCTCATTCAGAATAAAATATTGTTCTCCAGAGACTCAGATAGTCTTGTGTCAGAGTAACATTTTGGTTGTCGACGGTAAATATGTGAAAATCTACGGTGCTAGCCAGCCACATTTCACTATACAGTACATTGACCTCTCACCCACAAAACCCGCAGATGTGATTGTCGTGAAGATAAATACGGTTAGGTGGTTGACTTGTCATAGACGATGGTACGTGATAGACGAGAAAAGCTATCTCATGATAAGCTTGATTTAGATGTTTCGTGTGTACCCTGGCACAGTATATATGACACGCCATAACTCGCATCTACCCATCTGTCATCAGGCAAATTGAGTCTGACTGTCAGACCTATGAATACTGCAGGAAGCATTAGGGTTGACCACACATGACTGCCATGAGGGAAAATTAATTATGCTGCGTGTTTTAGTGTTTAGTGACAGTGGCATTGTTATAGGCGCTAACGGTGGCAGCTGATAAACTGCTTCAGTCTTTTTCTTCAGAATTTCCAAGGTCTGTAGTAGCGCGTATGATAATTCCACTGATTTGTACAAATTACCTAAAGTATTGCTCCCTACTCCCTACCCCCTCCCCCCATCCCTCCTCCCCTGTATTGACTCGTGTTATGTAAAGGATAAACACACTCAGATACAGTTACAGGGGATAATGCTGTATTACTGTAGTTCATTTAAGCGAACGATGACGTGTATATGACGTGTCTATCTACCCGTTCCAGTGTGTGTAGAATTCATCACTATGGTACCAACGTTAACAAGGTAATCGGCTTTAGATAATAAGTGATGGGGTGGTTGGAAAAATCTTCGTCATATTCAAGTATTGATCAGAAGAGAGGTCATTATTCGTGACCTCTGGGGAAATCAGTTCATGAACCATAATAAAAAGACTAATTACTCATTGACTCTTTTTTTTATACGACTGTGATGACGTGAGTGAGTTAAATCAGAATGGAGGTTTGTTTATCTACTGCCACCTTCACAAAGACGCACTACCTCTCTTTCTCTCTCTTCCTCTCCCTTGCGCTGATATTGTGTGCATGTGCATATATGTATGTATGTATGTATGTATGTGGGAGGGAGGGAAAGGGTACGGTAGGAGGGAGGGAGGGAAAGGGTACGGTAGGAGGGAGGGAGGGAAAGGGTAGGGTAGGAAGGAGGGAGGAAATGGTAGGGTAGGAAGAAGGAAGGAAGGGGAAGGGTACGAGGGAGGAGGGATAGGAGAGGTGATGTACCACTTTTCAAAATAGCGCCATAATGTAAACTTATATTACAAATTTAATGACGTTTTTATTCGCTTCACTTATTTATTCAGACTGACTAAGCTTGTAATCTAAACACCAGGTGAAGCCGGGGATGGTAATTAGCCCTTTGTCGTGCCTCACCTGCTGTTCTGTTAGGTTCACGCTAGGGAGGACGTTGTAGCTGCCGCATGTTAACACTCACGCCGGAGGGGCTGACGGTGCTGCTACTGGTGGTGGTGGTGGTGGTGGTGTCAGTCCTTCCACCTCCTCCTTTCATTCCTTTCATTCACAATAAAATATTGTTCTCCACAGACTCAGATAGTCTTGTGTCAGAGTAACATTTTGGTTGTCGACGGTAAATATGTGAAAATCTACGGTGCTAGCCAGCCACATTTCACTATACAGTACATTGACCTCTCACCCACAAAACCCGCAGATGTGATTGTCGTGAAGATAAATACGGTTGGGTGGTTGACTTGTCATAGACGATGGTACGTGATAGACGAGAAAAGCTATCTCATGATAAGCTTGATTTAGATGTTTGGTGTGTACCCTGGCACAGTATATAAGACACGCCATAACTCGCATCTACCCATCTGTCATCGGGCAAATTGAGTCCGACAGTCAGACCTATGAATACTGCAGGAAGCATTAGGGTTGACCACACATGACTGCCATGAGGGAAAATTAATTATGCTGCGTGTTTTAGTGTTTAGTGACAGTGGCATTGTTGTAGGCGCTAACGGTGGCAGCTGATAAACTGCTTCAGTTTTTTTTTTCAGAATTTCCAAGGTCTGTAGTAGCGCGTATGATAATTCCACTGATTTGTACAAATTACCTAAAGTATTGCCCTACCCTATCCTCCCCATCCCTCCCTCACCACCTCCTCCCCTGTATTGACTCGTGTTATGTAAAGGATGAACACACTCAGATACAGTTACAGGGGATAATGCTGTATTACTGTAGTTCATTTAAGCGAACGATGACGTGTATATGACGTGTCTATCTACCCGTTCCAGTGTGTGTAGAATTCATCACTATGGTACCAACGTTAACAAGGTAATCGGTTTAGATAATAAGTGATGGGGTGGTTGGAAAAATCTTCGTCATATTGAAGTATTGATCAGAAGAGAGGTCATTATTCGTGACCTCTGGGGAAATCAGGTCATGAACCATAATAAAAAGACTAATTGCTCATTGACTTTTTTTTTAGATGACTGTGATGACATCAGTGAGTTAAAGTCAGAATGGAGGTTTGTTTATCTACTGCCACCTTCACATAGACGCACTACCTCTCCCTCGTGCTGATATTGTGTGCATGTGCGTATATGTATGTATGTATGTATGTATGTAAAAATCAGCAATATAATCAGCCTCTGAGTCAGCCACCGTCAGCCATCACCCTCCCGTCATGACAGCCTCAAACTAACCTAACCTAACCAGGTGGCAGGAAGAGTGATAGAGAATCCTGGTGGTATTGGTGGCAGTGGTGATAGTGGTGAGGGTGGCTAGGATGGTGGTCGTACTGGTGGTGGTAGTAATGGTTGATGATAGTGGTAGTGGTGAAGGTGGTGGCAATGAGGCAGTAATGGTGGTGGTGGTAGTGAAGGAAGCAAGGATAATGGTGGTGGTAGTGGTGAGGGTGATGGTGACAGTGATGGGGGTAGTGATGATGATGATAGTGGTAGTGATGATGATAATGGTGGTAGTAATGATAATAGTGGTAGTGATGATGATAATGGTGGAAGTGATGATAATAGTGGTAGTGATGATGATAATGGTGGTAGTGATGATGATAATGGTGGTAGTGATGATGATAATGGTGGTAGAGTAGTACTGCTGCCGCAGTGTCAGTGGTCGCGTGTCAACCCCACATTCATACATACATACATACATACATACATACACATACATACATACAAATCCCTCCAGCTGCTTCCTGTGGTCTATATGTTGGAAGGTAAACACTGAGGCTTGAGATGTAATGATGTTTGTTCGCCAGTTGTGAGGAAGACTGGGAATGTATAGAGAAGGAGAAATAGATTAAGTGTCCTGAAATTCACTTGAGTGTGGCTGACCTTCTCCCTCCTGATAATAAATGCCACTATCATCATCACAATTGCATTAGATAAAGTAATTCCAGGTGTGATAATTCATAACTCCGCTGTGGGTTACCTGAGCTGTCTGTATCCTGAGAAATTATACCCAGATTATGTGAACAAGTCGTGACAACATTATTTTCGCTAAAGCTAAGTATATTAGTGTCATCTTGTAAGCGAGTGTCGACCCTGGCTGTACGACCCGTCTCACACTGCAGGCACCATCACGCATTCATCCTGGTGGGGGAAGACCTGCGGTTCGTGCCCCTCGTGATGTGTGTGTCAACATTCTATCTTCTTGAAACTGTTTATCTCTGTCAGTATACACACGCTATCGTCACTGTGCTCCTGCTTGCTCATTCACCGGCTCACCTCCCATGGGTGTAATGTACATATAATACAACTCCTCCAAGAAAATTAATCCCAGAACAGTTTATTGGTATCTGAATTAATTGAGGATTCAATTTAAGCTTTAGAAAAAATAAAATACTTGACAACCTATTTAGGGCAGTGTGGTATCGGCTCACTGAGTAGTAAACCTTCGGTACTGTACATTGTGTTGTGACCAGACCAGCTATATATAACTGGTCGGTCCGGCCCTGGAGGATGAAACAGTCACCCATAATCACCTCGGGATACACAAAACGTGACCACTCATTGTACCGTGATGAGGTCAAGGTGAGATATCTGGACACCTGACGTGACCCTTGAGCAGCTGTGGCCGCACGAGGCTGTGAAGGGTGGAGGAGGAGGAGGAGGATGTGTGACCCACCTTCAGTGTTACTTTGGGCATGAAAACTATTTGTCTCGCTCTTCATATTCTCCTATTTTAAATCTCTTAATTGAGGATCATCTAACCTAACCTAACCCAACTATTCCCACTGTAACGAAAGAAAGGTCATTATTTTTTGCTTTTACGATAGACGAAGGAAGTTGTTGAACATTAAAGGTGATCATTATTGTCTCAGCAGGAGGAACCACCTACCACCTTACAGTCCTCCTCTCAGCTGATGTTCCCTCTCCTCCACACAGGTTGTCTCGGCTGGACGGTCTGGAACACCTGAGTAAACTGGAGGTACTGGACCTTCACGGTAACCAGCTCCACCACCTACAGGGCCTCGCTCACCTTAAGGTAAACACTTAACTATTGATATTTATACCACAATTATATCCTGGTATTATATTATTTACCTCCAGGATATAATTAATTTACCCCCAAACATTACCGTGATGCCCTGGTGGACCATGCACAGTACTCAGATCGTGGTGCTGGCAGGGCATCTATACTGGTCATTACTCTCAGTGTGTCCCGCAGTTTATACACTCATAAATCAACATTGAACTCTCTGTGTGATATACATGGCGTGGCGTGGCTAACTGTGCTCGTACACGGAAAGTTGTAATTAATATTGTAGAGCATCAGGTCAACCATGCCCCCCCCACACCCCCATCCTGATAAAACCCTCCTGTATCCCGGGACTGAGGTTTGTCTCTACCTTCCCTATGGAGTCAATTAAAACTGTATTATTTAGGTAATTGTCACACTGTAATTTATGTTGCTTAAGACTGTAGCCCCGAAATGTAGCATTGATCCTTGACAGCTTAATCGCCATCACTTGGTCATGTTGGGTGGTTGGCTCTGACTTACATGACTTTGTTTTACTGACCTTCACTCCGCCTGTGGGTAGCATCGCAGAGTTTCACCGACCATCACACGCCAAGATGTCATTTACGTCAAAGAATCCGTGTCATTAACATCTCAAGGACGCATTATGAGCACAATAATCCTGCATTAAGTCCGGGTACCTGATGGTCAGTAGTTGTATCGCATGCTGGCCGCTCCACCACCACCAGCACCACTAACACAACCTACTGTAATTTGATAAGACTATGACGTAATTTCTATTAGATTAAAATGGTTATCAACGAAAGAGAAGAGGTCATTTAATATTAGGAAGATTAAGTGTAGCTGTGGTAGGAGCTGTGGCTGGTGCACTGTGGCTGAACACTGGCTGTGGTAGAGTTGTAAGAGGTCATGCACGAACAGGTGATCTCACAGCTTCGGGTCATCAGTGTTCAGCAATATTAAGGCGCTTTACTGTAAATGGTTGTTGCGTGTCGTCAAATACCTCTTGATGGGGTCAGTTGGATACGTGTGTGTGTGTGTGTGTGTGTGTGTGTGTGTGTGTGTACCTGCGTGTGTGTGTACCTGCGTGTGTGTGTGCCTGCGTGTGTGTGTGTGATGATCTTACCGCGTCTACAATTATAAGTTCTCATTAGTGTTCAGCGGTAATTACTAGAGTTATGACATTCAAGCATTTCAGTTTATTTACTTTTGTATGTTTTGAGTAACCGCGTACAATAAGGTTCATGAAGCCTCGAACACATATCTCTGAAGACCCCCCCCCCTACGATGCGCCAAGGGCAGATGTCAGTTATTGAGTTACTGTGAAATTACTTTGTTCCTGGAGTGTAGAATTGTGAGTCATTGCGGAGCTCTTGAAAGCCAAACTTAGTCCACTGGAAATATTTGTGTGAAGCGGAATTGAAGATAATCTGATTGTAATTCGTTTCTTCACATTCAGAAGGGGATTGTGTGTGTGTGTGTGTGTGTGTGTGTACCCCCCTTAGACACCCACCATCAATATACTTCCCTTAATATCCAAACGTATAATATATCTAAAGTACAAATTACCCATGAAAAGTAAACCTTTGCTTATAAACAAAACGTAAATAACGAATAAAAAAACTATAGCGCTAAGCCAGTCAGTCGTAACTAAACATTAAAATTATATAACTTCACTAGTCATGCGAGGACAGATTATATCAGAATACAATTATCGTACAGACTTTATATATATCTTAGCGTTACAGTTTCATCATGGTACAGGGGTCTTAGTGACTCGCGTGTACTGTACTGTTTGTTATGATTGGAATTTAAGAACATGTGTGTGTGTGTGTCGTGGAAAAAAAAGCCTATCTTCTCTGTCAATTTATCCTGGTTGGCAAGTGTGAAAATTTAAAACTGTCTGGGAGTTCTATTGTATTTTTTAATTGTTGATGGACAGTGTAATTATGAACGTTGTTATGCGCTTAAAAGACGCTAATTGTTGAAGCGTAGTAATAACATCAACGTTAACAGTAACACAAAAGGGTACGATCATTTATATATTAAGAGACATCAGAAAACTAAGTACAATTTAATTCACTTGTGTTTTATCTCGGTAAGGACAGGATGACATGCGCTAACACTCATGACCCGCGTGTTTTGTTTTCCATGGAGACGTCACAGTAGCAGAGGGCCGGAGTGCGACAGCTATAAACGAAAACTCACTTCACGTTAGCCTCTCCCATTCATATATATGTTCTGGGGATAGTTGTCAGTTCGTTGGTCATTTATACACTCACTGTGGCAAATTTATCAAAAACCAATACGCCCACACGGTCTAGTTGTGGGCGTGTATTTCCTCAATCACATAATCAGAGTCATCTTTCACGGAGCCGCGGAGGGAGATGTGACCCGTGCAGGTCTCACATTATCAACTTATTGTCCTTTTTTAAATTTTTGTAGTACGATATTTATCTGTTGTTGTTATTGTATTATTATTATTATTATTATTATTATTATTATTATTATTATTATTATTATTATTATTATTATTATTATTATTATTATTATTATTATTATTATTATAATTTAAGATGACGTTCCTGCAACGTTGCTTCGTAAAGTTTGTCATATTTTGGGTGTAACTGCAAGCTTTGATTGTGGTGGTGATGATGAGTGGTTGTGATGGTAGAGGTAGTGATGATGGTGCATGGTGACCAGGGAGCAGGCCGAAAGGGAGAAGACCCACTGCAACACACACACACACACCAGCCATCGTGTCACCCAGAGGTTGCACGCCATTATGCCTCACGATGAATCACTCCGTTATTAAGGATATCTCTGATGAGGGACTGACATTTTTTTTTTCATTTCTCAGTCACTAGAAGACACTGACGTCGTTAAATTGGTGGTGAGGGCCTTTGGTGTCGTGACTGGTGAAGAGCTGTTCCCCTGATTTCACTCTTGACCAGCATTTTGACCGCGCTTACGTGACCTTGACCCCTCTCACGTGACCTAGGCTCCTATAACGTGACCTTGACTCCTCTAACGTGACCTAGGCTCCTATAACGTGACCTTGACCCCTCTTACCTGACATTGACTCCTCTAACATGACCTTGACCCATTTCACGTGACCTTTACCCCTATAACGTGACATTGACCTCTATAACGTGATCTTGACCCCTTGTATGGTACTGTTGGGGCTGCTGCTGACCTATAAATGATGTAAGGTGTGTGTGTGATCGTTGCCCCATACTGATCGGGTAACCTACAGTGACCTCAGGCTTGTCATTCACTTCTTCAGGAGTTGCGGCTACTGAACCTGGCGGGCAACATGCTGCGTCACGTGACCGGCCTCCGCGGGATGGACTGCCTGGCGGAGCTTAACCTTCGGCGTAACCTTATCCGCACAGTCGCCGACCTCCACTACCTGCCGCGCCTCGAGAAGGTCTTCATGGGTTATAATGAGATATACAGGTATGAGCTCTGCAGGTGTGGACAAGGATGCAGGTGTGGGTAGGACTACAGCTATGGACAGGGCCTAAAGTTATGGACAGGGCTTACAGGTATGGGCAGGGTCTACAGGTATGGAAAGGGGCTACAGGTGTGGGCCAGGATACAGGTATATCATAATCGAAATCACGGAGTACAGGTTTGTGTCTACATGAGAGGAAGGTATGCAGTCATCGCATTAGTGTTTACTTCCCGTGTGTGTTACTCTATATAGGTTAGGTTTAGGTTAGGTTAGGTTAGGTTTGGTTAGGTTAACATCACAACTTCTTACAACCACTCACATACTAAGCTACGGTCTGTACGGTTAGTTTATTACTAATCATCACACTAGAGGAATTTGTATAGTAGATACTGCGCCATGAGACAGATTCCTAACCCCATCTCTCCTGCAGGTATGAAGACATTACCTGTCTCCAGAACTGCCTCAAGCTGCGAGAATTGTCCCTGGAGGAGAACCCCATCAGCCGTCAACCTCACTACTTCCATCATGCCGTGACCAGGTTCTACCGCCTCAAGAGGTTTGTCTGAAGGGGGCAAATGGGGCATGGATGAGGGGTACACGTCAGCAGGAGGAGGTGGGTGGGGAGGAGAGGGAGGGAGAACGATTCAGCAGAAGGGGAGAGAGAGAAAATCAGCAGGAGGAAAAGGAGGGAGGAAGGGGAGAGAGATTTCGGCCAGGCCATGTTAAGTGAAAGTATCGGCTGGGGAGGAGGACAGCATCAAGATCCAGGTCAGTTTGTGAGAGGTAGAAGGACGAGGAGGGGGAGCTGTGGGGGATGGCAGGAGGGGTGGGGAGGGGTGAGGGTGTGGGGGATGGCAGGAGGGGGAGAGGAACACACTGAGGTAAAGAATAAGATATACGTCGAACACACACACACACACACATACATAAATATAACATGTTCCGATGGTTGGTTCAGGCAATGTAGTGAAGATGAATAACGAAAGAGAAGAAGGAAAGGAAAGGAAGGAAGGATGGCAGGTCAGATAGATGAAGGAAGAGAAATACAATGTCAGCCATAATTGAAACCAAAGGGGAGGGGTCAGACCGGAGCAAAATTGATAAAAAGTGAGGGAGAGGATAAGCCGGGAAGGGGTGAGGCGAGGCGAGGTGAGGCAAGGCGAGGCGAGAGGTGAGGCAAGGCGAGGGGAAGAGGTCGTTGCAAGGCTTCCTAACTACCGGTTATATTTTATCAACTATGCAAGTATAGATAACCCATTAGTAGGATAAATAGCGGTGAAGTGAGAAAATGTTTTGAGTTTAGTTCATGAGAAAAGAGAAGCAAGGGTCAGACTTGCGTGGTTAAA